TTTTTAAAACAATGAGATATAAAACTTGATATCACAAGGAATAATATGAAATTTGTTTGAATATGGCTTCTGGTAATTCGTTTTTAAGAAATCATTAAGCAAAATAAGTAACATAGTAAGTAAAGCTATTTTTTTGATCGGCGGCAGTAGCGAAAACGGGAGGCATTTTATATTGTATAAAAAAACTTGTATAAACACATTAACACTTATGAAATATCTTATACTATATAAAAGTGAAATAAATTTTCATAAAAATTTTCATAATGGTAAGCACTAATGTGCTCATTAGGTTGAGCACAACTGCAATCGGAGAACATCCTTGATATTGTATTGTTGCAAAAACTAATAGCCATGTATACAAACTGAATATAATTACATAGCTGAATAACTAATAAAAAATATGCAATATTTCTGACAATGACAAATGTTAAATCTAATAATATACGTATCATTGAATGCAATATTAATAGTCTTACACCAACTTTTTATGCGAAAACGCAACTTCTGAATAATATAATCGCAAATCTATTCTCGCCTGTGAACTCATTGGAGACTGGAAAAAGGAAATGTCATAACAAAATCATTTAGAATCATAATTCGCTGTTTGCGCATGTCTAATTAGTTAAATCGATTTATTACGAGAACTTAGCAAACTTAAAACGTAATTATTTTCAACCTTTATAATTTATATCTTGCATGTTGTAATCTTGAACTATGATCCGTTTTTTTTTTCACGTATATGACAATTATTTGAAAAGTTTTGAACCTCAACATGAAGATGGTATTACTCGTGAAAATCATTCTGTATTATAATCATACATATTTTGAAAAATAATTGTGAATATATCCATTATGAACGCTCAGTTGTTGTTTGACAATCATTTGCCCAATGATGTCAATGTTTTTGTAAAAATTGAAAAAATTGGATATCGATGATCGCTATAACAAAAATTTACGAATTGCGATTCGAATTAATTAACACTGAGAAAAAAAAATTTATTCAACAAGAAAAATGTTATTTGACTCAACAAAATGCTGCGGTCGAATACAAATAAATATCAATTATGTAATAACAGCAAAGTATTTTGTTCAATTACTATACAATTTTAAATTTGGCTCAATCAAACTAAGTTATTGCAGACAAAATGTTTATTTGATTTGAGAATATATATTTAATTGAATAGTAACTTATTTTGATTAAATAACATTAATTGAGATAAAAGGATATGTGTCAAATAAAAAATATAATAGAACCAAATTTATATTTAAAATGAAAACATATCATTAACGCTCAACTTTTTTACAGTAGAAATTTGTACATACCAATATTATCGTGACATTCATGTATAGTTTATTTGATTAAACATAATAATAAGTCATAGTGACAAAATAGACAGTAGATAGAACTTTATATTTATTTGATGCGATAATATCTTTTTAATGAAGTAAAATATTTTGATTATCTCATAATAATTTAAGTTGAACAAACTATCTTTCTTGTTTGTTCAGATATTTGAAGTATATTGAATATGAAGACGTCTTAGTTTAACAAAATATTTGTTTCCCTTGAAAATCATTATGGTTAATGTAACATAAAAAGTCTTGTCAAAAACTAACTAATTTATTTGAGTAACCGTTATTTGATTAACTTTAACGAAAAAAAAACTTTTTTTGTTATTGCTTTTTGTTATGTTTTGTTATTGCTACTATTTTTCCAGTTCAATTTGTTATTTATTGGTTTCGCATATCTATATATGTTTCTTGTCTTATCAACTACAATTAATTATTGAAAGGTCAAGATTTGAACCGAACGATAACCTAAGACCGCGGTCCGATTCATGCTCACAACGCTTAAAAATCATTTCATCCTTGTTCTTTGTCAAATGTTAAACAAAGACAAATGATGCTCATGAGCGTTGTCAGCATGAATCGAATCACTTACGCTAAACTAATCACACGCTTGTGATCGATTGGTGTCATTGCCAATGTTACTTATATCTACTCCTATTGTAATCATTCTTTCATGCCTCTGCTGACAGTTTAATATTATTATTTGAAGAGATTACATGGAAATGAAATAATACGCTGGTATTTGTTCACTTAGTTTGGAAATGATAATGACAAAGCGATTCTCTGTCTCGAGAGATCGTAGCGAGCGTGTTTCGTTTCGCTGCGATCTGAGCCTTCACTATTTTTCAGTAATATTTTTAATAACAGACATTCAACAAATATTCATTGCAATTAAATTGTCTCGCTCATAAAAGTTTTCTATAGATAAAATAATAAATAGTTCTCCAAAGTATCATTTGAAAGCACTTCAAACAGATACAAAACAACAGGTACAGAACATTATGAAATTTAAGGTGTGTTCGGGAAGACACAAATGATGTTCTATTAAAAAAAAATCAGTTCGACTTTGATGATAGATATTTACTGCCCAAGGTCAAGCGGATATGATCAGTGAATAGATCTTTTTAAATCACACAACTTTTGTCTGAAAACATTTTTTTCAAAAATGCTTTACTTTCAAGATATTCGATCATTTCCAGACTTTAACATCCTGTATGCATAGATATATACATATTTGTATATACATATTTGTATAATGTTAATTAAAAGTTTAGTAGCGCGCGCGAAGTGCGCGCCTGTGTAGTAAATACAAGAAATGAATGAAAGGTAATGAATAAAAGAAGATCACTATTATCGAATTTAAAATTGAAAATGTTCTGATGTACTATCGACTTCGATCAAATTCGGTCGCTCCAATATCATCTTAAAACCTTATTTGGAGGATTTATTTCACATGTGAAATACTACGCTCTTTATATATTCTTTCTCAGGTGATTCTTATTTACGAGTTAATGTATCTTCGCCGTAATCTTCTGTTGGCAGAGATGCATAATGCTCATGGACGAGTGTATGCTCATGATTTTCGTGATAACATTTTGTTAGCAACGAACTACAATGGCATCGATTAAAAAACTTAATAACTTGAAGACATAATATACAACGGATGGATCGTTATACATATTTTGTTGCCGTCATATTTTCATAACGCGGGATCGAGAATAGAAGTCGTAGCAGTCACAGGGTCTTAAGTTGTAGAAAATTAACCAATCACAGTCGAATATAAAAAGAATAATCAATGATTGATCAATTTTCTACTTTTCGATTTAAAATCCTACGATTTCTATTGTAGATCCCGTATAATGTTCATGATAGAATGATTAATCATTCCTTGTTGTTATGTCATTTTACCGACAGCATAACATACCGCTATTGCTAACCGTTTGTTTTGAAAATTTCATCAACTGATTGCATACATAAGCAATTACGTCGCTGTATTTGTAACGTGTACTATTTTTATGTCAGCAAATGTATGCCAAATATGTATAAGACAATTCATACAATGCATCAGTTTGTTCAATAATCTATACTAAATCACGCTTGATTATCTTGTATTAATAAAAGATATTTTTGTCAAATTAAATGTAAAATTGTAAAAAACATTAATGATTTTAATGATATTTTGCTATAGATTACAGAAAAATGGCAAATGATCGTTTAGATATGGTAATATTTGGCGCTACTGGATATACTGGAAAATATGTAGTGAAAAATGCAATCCATATGTGTAAGGATCAGAAAATGAAGTTCGGTATTGCTGGTCGTAGAAAAGAAGCTCTAGACGCAGTTGTTAAGGAATTTGTCTCAGATATTGGTATATTTAAAACTTAGAACTGATTATTCCAATTATAATATTGTAATAAATCACTTTATTTATTATTTGCAAATGTTATCATGTTACATACATGTTATTAGCGGATGTATCTGTTATTCTGGCTGATGTAAAAGATGAGGAATCTCTTAAGAAAATGACGGAGCGAGCAAAGATACTTGTCAATTGTTGTGGTCCATACAGATTTTATGGAGAACCCGTTATCAAAACATGCATTGCTACTTGTACTCATTATGTTGATATCACTGCTGAAGAACAGGTAATTCAACAACGTTTATGCAATAGTACAATGATCAATTGATCATGATTTCTCTCTGATATCTTATTATTTTATTTAGTTTATGATTGAAATGGAATTAAAATATAACGAAGCAGCAAAAGAAGCTGGCATCTACATAGTAAGCGCTTGCGGCTTGGACTGTATTCCTAGTGAGTTGGGAGTTATTTTTACGCAACAGAAATTTGAAGGAGAAATGAATGCTATTGAAATATATATGAGCATGTGGTTAAGCGCTATTGACAAGATAGGTCCGATTTGCAATTATGGAACTTGGATAACTTTTGTATACAATCTGGCTCATGCAAAGGAATTACCTGCATTACGCAAAAAATTATATCCTATCAAGTTGCCTGAATTCGTCCCGAAATTAAAATCAAGGTATACACGATTCTATATCTTATATGTCTTGCGTATATTCATAAATCATATTTTTTCAACAATAACTACTAACAATAAATCAAATATTGAGTGTGGGAAAAAGTTTTTTCACTAGATGGCATTAAATGCTCAGCAATGAGCAACTACTAATCGCATCGGCAATACTAGACGTGCGTTTAAAAAGTGACATTTTAACCTTTGTTTTGAGCCGAAAAGCCAAAAGATTGAAATCGGTGAAGTGTATCAAAAGTTATTTTATTTTGAAAATGGTGGAAATAAATAAGGAAAAAATTCGCTACATTTTGCAGTATCACTACGATAAACGCAAGATTGCTGCACAGGCTTGTGAAAAAATTTGCGCTGTTTACGGTGAAGATACTCTATCAAAATCAGCACGGAAATGATTCGCTCGCTTTCGTGCTGGAAATTTCGATGTGAAAGATGAACCTCGTTCCGGTCGACACTGAAAAGTCCGATGAAATCATGGTAAACGTCGAGCGTGATAAGCATGTGAGCACTGTGGAGATTGCCAGGGAACTAGACATCGACCACAAAACAGTTTTAAATCATTTACACAAAGCTGGATACAAAAAGAATCGATGTTTGGGTTTCTCACGAGTTGAGTGTTAGGAACATGATGGACTGAATTAACATTGTGATACGCTGAAACGGAATGAAATTGATTGAGCCATTTCTGAAGAGAATGATAACTGGTGATGAAAAATGGATAGGAAAAATGGATCTACGATAATCCAACTAAAAAAAGATCGTGAATAAAGAAAGGAAAGAAGGCGCAAGCAATCGCAAAACCTGGATTGACGAGGAAGAAGGTGATGTTGCGTGTGTGGTGGGACTGGAAGGGAATCATTCACTATGAGCTGTTATCGTCTAATCAAACAATTAATTCCGAACTCTACTGTGAACAACTGCAGAAATTACAACAAGCAATTGAGAGGAAGCGGCCAGAATTAATCAATAGGAGAGGTGTCATCTTCCATCACGACAACGCTCGACCACACACATCTTTGATGACTCGGCAAAAATTGCGAGAGCTTGGCTGGGAGGTTTTAATTCACCATATAGTCCTGACATAGCACCCTCAAACTAGCATTTGTTTAGATCTCTGCAGAACTTTCTTAATGATGTAAAGCTAGGTTCAAAAGAGGCCTGTGAAAATCACTTGAAGCAGTTTTTCAGAAACTACAGAAGTTCTATCGCAATGGAATTATGGCTCTGCCCCAAAAATGGCAAAATATTATAGAAAATAATGGAGCATATTTGGTTTAAATAAATTGATTTCAATACTCTAAGAAAAACACTTTAATTTTACTAAAAAATCGCCACGAACTTTTTCCCATACCCAATATAAATAAATTTTCTGTATGCGTATATAAATGTTTAGACAATATGCAAGTTAGTGCAATATTGATAAAAAAAAATAGTTATTATAATAACAATAAGCAGCGTTAATAATTCCATTTATTTTGCAGAAGTGTACTGCACCGAAGTGATGTTTCTGAAGGATGGTCCTCACCATTTCCGAGTATCGATCGTTCAGTAGCTCTTCGTACACAGCGATTCTTATATGAGAAGTATAAAGAGAGACCTGCACAAGTTCAATTTTATGTTACATTGAAGTTAGTATAGGAATGAATATTGACAAATAATTTTTGTTAAATTCTGTATTTACTTTATTAAATTTTTCTTAAATTCTGTATTTACTAATAGATATTTCTTCGAATTCCTGATGATGGCTACTATCGGTATGTTTATATTAGTTCTGTCTCGCACAGCATGCGGTCGGAATTTACTTCTAAGAGTATGTGTGCAAGTACTTGCGCGATTGTCAAAATATCATTTAAATAATACAAAATAATAACATATGATATTTGCAGTATCCGGCTCTGTTTTCACTCGGTATCATAAGCTCAAATCTGGAAATGCTGAAACCGACATATTTTTCTGTTACGTTCAATGCTAGTGGATGGACTGAAAAATTGGCTGAACCTACCGATAAACACACAGATCCACCTAATAAAAAAGTAATCACTAAAATGTCTAGTGATTCTCCCGGATATGAATTAACTAGCATCACAGTGATCTTATCGGCAATAACAATTCTTAACGAAACTGATAAAATGCCTGACAAGTTAGTAAATAATTAATTACTTATCAATGTAACACTGTCCATTTTTGGAAAATTTAAAAATTATTCACTTATAGCTTGAGATAATTAATGACAATTGAAAGACAATTAATTACATGTTGAATATTGATTTTTTATTTTTATGTATTAATATTTTTACAGCGGAGGAGTACTTACTCCCGGTGCTGCATTTGGTAAAACATCTCTGATCGAGAAATTGATAAAACATAATATTAAATTTGAGGTGATATCGTCTATGGAGAAATAAAGATAAGAACATTGTATTTAATTCTGTTATGTACTATATTTTAACACATTTTATTTTTACGCTTGATTTTAATGCTAACATTTGTTGTAGTATAAACTTTTATTTTATACACTTATATTTCATAATATTTCAATAGGAAGATATTTATAAGACATTATATATATATAAATATATAT